CAGGGAAAACATTCATACACAAAACCCCAAACAAGTAAATACAGAAGGAAAAAGGGGAGAAAAATCACCCTGTATAGGCTCTGTGGAACGCAGCAGCTTTCCCAGCTTGTGGTTTTCCAGACTGCCATATGAGAAGACTGTTCGCTTCACCTAATCTATGATGTAGATGTCATATTCCCGTGGCAGAGGAAAAAGAAAAAAAAAAAAAAACCTTCAACCTTCAATATAAAGAATTCTCAATGGCTATTTTTCTCAGTGAAACATTGACTATTTAGAAGGCATTTAAAGCTTTCTGGATTTCCTAGGGGAAACACTGACATCTTACAGGAACTCTTCAAAATTCCGGCATTAAAAAAAAAGGCCACAGAATCTGGCCTAAAGGTGCATATATTCCAACCCAGAAAAGTATTTGTAATTAGTGAGAATCTGAAAGTTGATCTGGAAGAAGAACCTGAACTGGAGATTGCCGTGGTTTGAGTTTTAAATGTTTTTCAAAGAACTATATGCTGGGTGCTTGGTCCCTAGAGAGGCTGTGAAGGTAGTTGAGCCTTTAAGAAGCAGAGCCTAGTAAGAAACTTTTAAACCTTTTGAGGGTGTGATTAGAAAAGGGATATGAATCCCCAGCTGTTTCCTTACCCGCCCCCTTAGTGTCTCTTCCTGGCCATAAAGTGAGGGGTACAGTGCTACTACACACCATCACGATGGGCTGTTTGCCAGAGGCCCAAAGAATCAACTCATCACAAGCAGAATCCCCAAAACCATGAGTAAAAACACCGCTTTTCTCTTCCTAAATTCAATGTCAGAAGTCTAATTACAGTAGCCACAAGTTACTAGCATACAGATATTCCCAGCTGGTGTGGAGGGGAATGGAATACCTGAATGACGATGCAACCAGGATGGTGTGACCCAGGAAGTGCAAGAAACGTGCTGAGGTTAGAACACAGACTGGATGAGTGGGACGCACAGTAAAAGGTCAAGTGAAGCAGAGGCTAAGAGGTTTGCCCAGGAGGCTGCGTCCAGTCCAGGTCGTAGCCTCTTGGGGGAGTGGTGGAGAAGGCGAGGACTTAATGAATGGCACAGACTTGGGAGCCAGGGGACAAAGCAAAAGCCCACTCTTTTATTGAGGGCAGGGCAGGCCTCCTCAGCCTGCTCCGGAACCAGGGGCGGTGCCGATCTGGAGTGTTGTCCCTCTCTCATTGGCCCTGGTCATCATGATGCCAGCGTTTCCTGCCTGGCTGGGGACTTCTTGTTGGCTCATAGGGAAATTACTAATGCGCATGCTCGCCTGGCGGGAAGTTAGCTTGCTGAGGCACTGATGGGTTTGGCCTTGTTTTTAAAGGTAAGGAAAAGCCCTTGAAAGGTTTCAATCCATTGAGTAAAATAAGATTCCTATTTCAGTTCGGGTCCCTCTGACCGCGGTATAGGAGGTGTACTGGAGCTGTGGCGTCCCTGAGGAAAGACAGCATGTTCCTTACAAGAAAGAAACGACTTCCCCTCCCTCACATCTGGGATCTTCACTATGTAGCTAGACTTGAACTTTTCACCCCCCTGCTCTTCTGAGTGTTGAGTTTATAGATGGGCACCTTATAACATTATTTGGCTTCCTTATAAGATTATCTCATCAAATTGCTGTTAAATTCAAATAGTAGTAGAAATTAGAATAAGGAAATGTGTAATTCAGATGAAAAAAAAATTCTATTCTAGTATTTCTATAAAGGTTGTTGTAAAAAATGTTTCTATTCTGTACTTTTTTCTTATCTTTCCTGAAAGGCAAAAATGTTTGTCTATTTCTTTGACTTTTCTTAATACATTGTTAAAAATGTGTCCAAAACTAGTTTACTACAACAACATTTGGACATGATACATTACTAACTTTCTAATTTTGGACATGATGTATTGCTTGCTTTACTTATTTTGTTGTTCTTATATTTTCCAAATACGTTTATTTAAAATAATGATCAGTCATCAGGTTATACATTATGATGTAATGAGTACTGAAATATTTCTTTCAGAGATGATCCAAAATTGTTATGTTTCTATTTTCCAATTTTAATTGTTAGTTTAATTTTCAGTTTTTTCTATGACATTTTTAATTTGTAGATATTTTCATTGCTTGCTTGTATCCTCTTTAAAGATTTGTTATTTTTAAAAATATACATGCGTGTGTGTTTCTGGGTCTGAGCACGTGAGTATAGGTGACTGTAGAGGTCAGAAGATGTCAGATCCTCTGGAACTGGAGTTACATGTGGTTGTCAGCCATCTTATGTGGGTTCTGGGAACTGCTCAGGTCTTCTGCAAGAGCAGTATGTGCTTTTAAATGCTAAGACTATCTGTCTAACTTCTGTGGCGTTTTTAATATTTTTTTTTCGAGACAGGGTTTCTCTGTGTAGCTTTGGAGCTTATCTTGGCACTCACTCTGGAGACTAGGCTGGCCTCCAACTCACAGAGATCCGCCTGCCTATGCCTCCCTAGTGCTGGATCAAAGGCGTGCACCACTAATGCCTGGCTTCGTTTTTAATAATTTTATTTAGTAAAATCGATGTCTTTGGGCTAGAAATTAAACTTAATCACATATACACATATATACTTGATTTTTCCAATATTATTTTATCCAAAAATTATTTCTTTCCCTTAAAAAAATGCTGCCTTATGTTGGAAGCTTTCTTCAAATACCTAGAGAATTTTAACTGTCAATAAATATGTAAAAATGAATCACTAACTTGTGGAATGGAACTGATTTCCTGCCTTGTTGGGTAACCTAGGTCCACTGTTTGGTTAGTGAACTTTTGACCATGTTTTATATTTTTTTTCCACTCAGATATTTTCATTAATCTGTTTAGATTCTCTGGAGAAGAGTTAAATCTGGTTCCTCACAGGAGGGTCTAACACTGGTTGCCGGCATTAGATTTGGATAAGAGAGGTTGGAGAGTTGTCATGGTTCCATGTGCACCCTGTAAGAGAATTCTCTGTGTCCTGTGTTTTTCGCACTGTCTGACTCATTCTCTGTAGTAGATAAATCTCAGTTTTCTTAGAGGAACTGCTCAGCTATCCTGTAATTATGTATCTATTTCTTTACTTGGAGAGGTTTGACTCTCTTGCTGTGGATACCTGGGATTGTCAGTGGGTGTTTCAGAACCTTGATTTTTTTTTCCTCTTAACTTTCTCTATGGTTGCTTTTATCCCTCCTTTTAGTTTTCATTTTGAAGTCTTTTGATTTACCTTTCTTTAGCATCAATTACTGTTTGTCTCTACAAGTTGGTGTGGCTGTTATCTTTCCTTGGATGGCACTTGTTACTTGTAATTTAAAAATCTGCACAGTGACATCAGTGAGATGTTATGAGGAAGCGAGTGTGTGCTTCCGTTGTAAGTTGTAAACAATTTAGACCTTTTGGAATTTCTAGGTTTTCATAATTGTTTTTTAACACACGGGATTATTTTAAAATGTTGACCTAAGCATGGAAATCCCAATGCTGGATGTTCTGCAACACTGAAAATCAACCAACCAAACAACCCCCCCACGAACAGCTTAAAGTTTTAAAAACGTTGAAAGCAAACCTTTCAATAACAAATAACATGCATCTATTTTTCATGGGCTTAACACATCTCTTAATAGCCGTGAAGGGATTGCAGTACTCTCGGTAGACCAGCCCCATACTTATTAATCATCTTAACTTTTATAATGCAGGAAGTGCCAAAATCTCTCCTCAGAGCAGCTGCTTATCCCCAGTCCAGAACATTCTTTCCAGTATGACTTGATTATGTTCATCAAGTTTTGTAACAACCTTCTTATGGGGGGGAGGGGAAAGAGAGGAGAGAGAGAGAGAGATGAGAGTAGAAAATTAAGTTTTGACCCTTGTTGGAATGGAATCAGAGATTTAATATGAATTTTGATGGGGAATGGTATTTCGTTGTCAGGAGAAGCAGTTGTTTGTGAAAGAATTAAGCTCTCTTTGTAGAGAAGAAACCCACAGTCAAGAAAGAAAACAGCTTTTGAAATCTGAGGCCTCCTTATTTCTTAAGAACCTGGGCCCTCCAGTCTGTTTTGATTTTATCTGTCTAGCTGTTTGTTTAGGTAGCAGTCTTATGGCGGCGGGTGGTCTCGAACTCCTGACTTTTCAGCTCTGGCTTGCTGGGATTACAGAGGAGCACTGACTCCCGCCGCCGCCGCC